GGCATGAGTCTTCTTATGTTTATCTGTCCATCTGTCTCCTTGGCCCTTCCTCCTTGGGCTCCCCTCCCCTGCTCCTGCTGATTGTATTCAGTTCCCAATGACTGGTGTCTGTCACCTCCTCCCTGCCCCCCCCCCCCCCCCCCCCCCCCCACCCCAGCCTCTGCCAGATTTCTGAGCCACTCTAGGCTCGGTGCTAAGTTTTACAAATATCATTTCTTTTAATCCTCAAAATAACCCTATAAGATAGGTACTCTTACCCCGTCAATACATGAAGTATGCTGGTAGCCTCAGGGCCTTTGCACTGCCTGTTCCCGCTGCCTCTGGAGTTCTGCTGGATCTTCACATAACTCATTCCCTCACTCCTTCAGGTCTCTGCTTCGATGTCACCTTGGCACTGAGGCCTTGCCTGACCACCCTATTTGAAATAGCTCCCCCACGCTCACACTTCTTAACCTCCTTTCTCTTTATTTTTCTCCCTCTTATACCATCTGACATACTCTACTTATTTGTTGACAGTCTCCTTCCACTGGAATGGAAGGTCTAAGGGGCAGGGGTGTTTTGTTTCCTGCTGTTCCACAGCACCCAGAACAGTGTCTGGCACATAGTAGGTACTCAATTTTCCATTTTATGAACAAAGATCCTAAGGCTCAGAGAGGGTAAGTAACTTGCCCCAGGTCTGGGCAGTAAGTTGCAGAGCCGGACTTGCGTCCAGAAGTGTGTGACTTTACATTTCCGCCAAGGACAGACGTGGGATGAGCTCAGTGAAGGAGGCCGGTCACGGGGCTGGCCCACTAGCTGAAACACCTGGGTCTCTGGAGACAGATGGGTCCCCAACAGGATACAGCCAGCCAGTGTGAGGGGCCCAAGGGAGCAGGAAGCTCGAAGGAGTAGCACTGTCCTTCAGAGAGGCTAGGACCCTCCTGTCCAGGGTGGTGAGACCCTCCTGTATCCTCCCAGCTGGCAGGAGAGGGGCTGCTGCTGGCCGAACTAGTCCACACAAGCAGTTTTCTGCTTGGGCAGTTTCGGTTTTTGTTTTCTCTGGCTGCACCGTGCAGCACGTGGGATGCCAGTTCCCCCTCCAGGGATCGAACCCATGCCCACCATAGTGGAAGCAGAGAGTCTTAACCACTGGACCGCCAGGGAAGTCCCTGCTTGGGCAGTGTTGACTTCCAGCAGAATCCATGCCTTCCATCCCCACACAGTGGAAAGAACAGACAGCTTCGGCCTTGGGAACCAGGCAGGTCACTTCTCCCCAGGCCTCAGTTTCATCACCTGTAAAACAACAGAAAGGGAACTGAATTCAATGACCTTCCGAGTCCCTTTCTCTTCTGTGAAGCAAAGGCTTTGTGATATTTTGGGCTCCAGATCCAACTCGTCCTCAGAAGCTGCGCGCGGGTGTTCACGGAGGCCCCCTCACCTCCTCAGCTCTGTCACCATTTATTGAGCACTTACTGTATGCCAGTAAGTGCTGTGTAGAAGCTCATTTAATCCTACAGTAACACTACTGGGGGCACTAGTAGTGTCCCATTTTGTAGCGAGGAAACGGGCACAGAGTGCACCGTTTCCCTGACTGAGCAGCAGTGCCGGGATGAGGCACCCAGGCAGCTGACCCCAGGGCTCCTTAGCTCTCCTTTGCCCTCAGTCTCAGCTCCCTGAGGCTGCACAGCCCCATGTGTGGCAGGGGCCGATGGGGAGCGCTCTGAGGGGCCTTGCCAGCCTCGCGGGATGGGCCAGGGTTGGGGGGTGAGGGCACTGGATAGGAGTCTCAGGTGTGAGGCCTTGACCTCTAAGCTGGGTGATGCTGCTGCAGCCGCCGCCTCCTCGCTGGTCCCTTTCAGGTCCCAGTCAAGGGTTGAAAGCAGAATGAAAGCAGTATCCCTGCCACGAAAGGGAAAAGCCCTGGTGAAAGGCACCGATTGCAAGCAGGGCCACCACTTACAAAATAACTTGCCTTGGGGAATAATTTAGGGCCCTGAAGGGGTACCTGTAACTTCGGGACCCACCTGGGGCAGCCTGCCAGAGCACAGGCCACTGCATCTATCACCGCTCAGCCTTAGGTCTACCTGTCTGCTCAGGGAGTGAGGGCTTCCTGCGACCAGCCTGGAGGGGCCACAAGGGAGACTGAGGCCCCATGTAGGTTTCATCAGGGAGGAGTGGATTGTCCCCATCTGTTTGGTCAGAGAGGCTAAGAGGAAAGAGCTCTGAGCTGTGTGTCAAGAGACCTGGCCTCAGTTTAATCCTCAACAAGTCATTTGCCCTGTCTCGTGCCTCTGTTGCCCCTGAGAAATGGACACATGTGGCTCCCCTTTCCCTGTCCGCATCCTCTGAGAGGGTGGCAGTGAGGGGTAGAAGTAAGTAGATGGGATGGTTCTGTGTTTAAAAAAAAAAAAAAAAAAATGAGTGAACACCGCAGGAATTCAGGGGGTTGTTCCCTAATGCAGGAGGGAGGAGTGGTTTGCACCCACTGGGCCTGCTGCAGAAGGAGCCCTTGGGGTGGAGTTGAGGACAGCACCTTGGCCCTGCTGGTGAGAGAGTGGCCCTGGCCACAGCACCCGCCCCGCCCTCCCCTCCCCTTCCCTCCCTGCACCCTCTACTCAGCCCCTTGGCAGCTCTTCCTGAACTTGTTTTTCCAAATCACCAATTAACTTCACGCTGGGCTCCCAGGTGGGCCAACTCTTCTGGCTAACTTTTCCTCAGAAGAGCACAAGCTTCTGCTTCCCAGGCTTCCTGGCAGATCTGGGATGTGCTGACCCCACCCCTTATCCCAATGCCCTCTGCTTGGGAGGGCAGTGCAGGGACCCGGGGTTCCCAGCATCACCATGGCCACTGGACAGGTGCCTCCACCAGCTCATCTCTGGATGGCCCTCGAGAGCCCATAGGCTGGAGCTATTTGCCTAATGCCCATGTCACCCTGTATTGTCTTGACAGCCCATTTCTCAGAGGAAGAAAACTGAAACCAGCAAGGGAACTTGAAATTCACCTTCATGGGGCGGGGAGAAGCAGGCAAGAGAAGCTCCAGGCAGAGTTGTCAAGTGGAAAAGCGTGTCTGTGGTCTGCTACCCTGCTTCTCCTAACTTGCCGTTATCTGATCAACCTGTCCATGTTCAAGTATAAATAAGTCTTACTGTGTGGCGGGTGTCTGTCCCAGGCCAAAGGTACACATTCCTAAGAGTGACATAGCCGTCATCAGGGAGCTGGCTGGGAGCAGTATTGACAATTCAGAGAAGACTTTCCTGTATCTATGAATTGACCCTGCCTGGGAGGTGTGAAGAGAAGGTACGGCCCCTGAGTTAAATAGTGCTGAGTTCAAGTCTGGTTTCCATCCCTTCCAGGCTGTGTGACCTTAGGCAAGTATATAACCTCTCTGATCTTCAGTTCCTCCTTTGGAAAATGGGATGATGGGGCCTACCTCACAGGGAGGACTGAAGGTGATAACACATATAGAGTGCCCAAGTATGCCAGGCACAGAATAGACGGGTAATGAATGTTCATTCCCAAAGTTCCCTCCTCAGACTCGCTCCTGCTCCAGAAGCCCTTGGAGGTGCTAATTCTTGCTTCATTTTCCCAGATCTCCCTGTATTCCCCACTGGTGTTTTGCAGTACTAAGAAGTTGTGCCCACCCACCTCACCCGTCTTGGTGCAGACTCCCAGGGAGGAAAGCATCTCTGAGAGGCATCATTAGACAGGGCAATGCCATGGCCAGGTGGAAATCAGAGTGGGGCAGGCAATGGGGGTTGCCAAGGGGTCGTGGGGCCACAGTCCTCCCTCATCTATCAGCTCAGCCCGCTGCTCAGGGAGGAAGCCCATCCCCACCCACCAAGCAGGATAGACAACAGCAGGGGGCATGGACTCCAGCAAGGAGCACCCTGACAGTGGTGAATGGCTTCACATGAATAACAGATGAAGGCTCCGCAATTGGTGTTATTACACATGCATTTCACCTCCATTCATAATGATTGGACACTTAAACCCAGCCGTTCCTCTGCTGAGTGCTGCTGTCATCATTCTAGCCGAGATCCCAGCAGCTGTCCAGATCAGCTGTTGCCACACTCTGATCCCAATGGGTGCAGTTTATTTTTTGTTGGCGCTCAGTGTCCCAGGAAATGTCAGTTCTCGGGAAGGGGAGGGTGGCTATTCTGGGCAGACTACCCTGTCTCCTGCCCCGGAGCAGGTTGGCTTTCTTCAGACGCTTCTCACTGTCTGGGCAGTCGGCTCAGACATCCTAGGGTGAGAGGCAGGCAGGAGGGGCTGGGACTTGGGGCTTGAGGAGGTGGGTCACGGCCGGAGCTTAATAGGTAGAATGCCAGCCCCCTGCCTCTAGGCATATCCCTTAATGTAGTGGCCCTTGCAATTTAGTGTGTATCAGAATTACCTGGAAGATTGTTGAAACATTACTGGACCCTCCGCCCAGCATTTGTCATTCAGTAGGTTGGGGTGGGGCCCGAGGCTTTGCCTTTCTAACTAGTTCCCAGGTGATGCTTACGCTGCTGGTCCAGGTTACTGCCTTAAAGCCTAGTTACTTGAGGTGTGGTCCGTGGGCAAGCAGCCTCACCTGAAAGCTTGTTAGAAATGCAGAATCACAGGCCCTGCCCCAGACCTCCTGAATCAGAATGGCATTTTAACAAGGTTCCCGGAGGATTTATACAGCCATTACAGTTTGAGAAGCCTCAAAGCACGATCAGGTTAGAGGTGGGCAGAGCTAGGCAGTAGGCAGGGCCAGGCAGCTATAATCCTCTGTTCAGTTCCTTCCAGCTAAAGGCAGCTTCTAACTTCTGTGCACCATGACAAGGATTGGGACGTACTGCCTTAAAGCACGCAAGCAGAGGGATGAAGACCCTTTGGGGAGGGAATTCCAGCCCCTGACTGTGTACCTTAATCCCACCTCTCACAACCTATCAGACTGCCTGGTGACCCACGGCCCCTCCCTCTACAGGCCGAGGGCCCGGTCCCTGCTGGGTGCCTGTGTCCCTGACAGCTGCCTTCATTCTCCCCGCCCATAGGTGGTGGCCTTTGCCTCTCTCTTCTTCATCCTGGTGTCCATCACCACCTTCTGCCTGGAGACCCACGAGGCCTTCAACATCGACCGCAACGTGACGGAGATCCACAGAGTGGGGAACACCACCAGTGTGCGCTTCCGGCGGGAGGTGGAAACGGAGCCCATCCTGACCTACATTGAGGGAGTGTGCGTGCTGTGGTTCACGCTGGAGTTCCTGGTGCGCATCGTGTGCTGCCCCGACACACTGGACTTCGTTAAGAACCTGCTCAACATCATCGACTTCGTGGCCATCCTGCCCTTCTACCTGGAGGTGGGGCTGAGCGGCCTGTCGTCCAAGGCGGCTCGCGACGTTCTGGGCTTCCTGCGCGTCGTGCGCTTCGTGCGCATCCTGCGCATCTTCAAGCTTACGCGCCACTTCGTGGGGCTGCGCGTGCTGGGCCACACCCTGCGCGCCAGCACCAACGAGTTCCTGCTGCTCATCATCTTCCTGGCCCTGGGCGTGCTTATCTTCGCCACCATGATCTACTACGCGGAGCGCATCGGCGCCAGGCCTTCCGACCCGCGGGGCAATGATCACACCGACTTCAAGAACATCCCCATCGGCTTCTGGTGGGCCGTGGTCACCATGACGACGCTGGGCTACGGGGACATGTACCCCAAGACGTGGTCAGGCATGCTGGTGGGGGCGCTGTGTGCACTGGCCGGCGTGCTCACCATTGCCATGCCCGTGCCCGTCATTGTCAACAACTTCGGCATGTACTACTCTCTGGCCATGGCCAAGCAGAAGCTGCCCAAGAAACGGAAGAAGCATGTACCTCGGCCGCCCCAGCTGGAGTCGCCCATTTACTGCAAGTCGCAGGAGACCTCGCCCAGGGACAGTACCTACAGTGATGCCAGCCCCCCTGCCCCAGAAGAGGGTGTGGTTGAGAGGAAACGGGCAGGTGAGATTGGGGGTTGGGAAGGAAAGCCACCTCTCCCCCAGTGGCCAGGGGAGTTCCCAGGTGAAACTCAGCCCTTGGAACTTGGGATTGTGCTTTTATTGCTCTGGGCTTCCCGAAAGATAAGGCATGCCTTTATGAGGGCACAGTATGGAGGCTGAATATCTATTCTCTGATAGCTTCCTGAACATCAGGCTCTGTGGAGTGAGTATCCCCCTAAATTTAGGCTGCTATGGGCAGTGCATGGGGCTGTAAATTAGAAGCCTGGGCTTCTCATCCCATCTTGGCCATTGTGCTGTGTGCCCACAGGCCAGTTACTCACCCTCTCTGGGCATAGACTCCTCACCTGCAAAACGGGAATGCTGTCAATGTCTTACCCTGACTTTGACGAGACCCAAACGAATGATGGACATGAAAGTGCTTTAAGAAGTTAAAACCACTTTACAAATATCAGGCGCTGTCTTTATTAGCTGGAGAGTAGGGCAGCTGTTCTTCTGAGGAGAATCAACACATGAATCATTTCTTTCCAAACGTTCCAGTCTAGTGTCTCTTGGCCTGATAAATGTGATAACGTAATGGCAGTGGGAGTCTGCCTTCTGTTTGGCACAAGCTAGACTGAGTCCTGGGCTCGGGGTTTAACATGGGACGGAAGGGAACCAAGAGGGAGCAGCCCAGGCAGTGTTGGGAGAGGGGAGAGGAAAGGTGGAAGAAACTGGTAGCTGCATCCTGGAACGGGAGGACCTGAGGGTCTGAATCGTGCTCTTCAAGGATGAGAAAGGCCACCCCAGGAAGGCTTGCTTCTACCTGAGTCAAGAGCAAGGAAAGAAAATTGGCTTCACCCACAGCAACGTGAAGTTAGGTTGGAGAGTGGGAACCCAACTGTTAGGTACGGGATGGGCTCCTGAAGGAGGAATGGGATTCCTAGCATGGGGGGCCGTCGGATGTCAGGCCGTTGGGGAGCGGGGCGGGTGGGGTGCCAGGAGACTAAGGTAGCAGCTCCTGTCTCGGCTCTGGGGGCAAAGTGGGACTCGTCCTTGTGGGGAGGTGCCTGACTTGGGACATTCACCTGTGGCCTGCTGGTGGGTGCCCATCCTATGTGCTGGAGCCACTCACTCCCTGGGGTCACTCAAGGGCCCGGGTCTTTCAAAGACCTTGATGGAACAGCACCCATTAGGCCCCCGTCTTTTCCCCCACCAAAATGGTACCCTCTTCCCCAATCCCTGAACATAAATCTCCCAGCCAGTACCCCAGGGAATTTCAGCTCTACCCTGAGGTGCATTCAGGGCTCAGAGGGTAACTTAATATCAAAATGTACAAGTCCCTAGGCTGGCTCCGCAATACACACGGCGCCATGAGCCATTCCTTAGCCTGACCCTAACTGCTCGGTCACAGAAAGGGCATTCCTGGC